CTGGAACACAAAACAGCATATGAGCAAGTCACACATTTAAGTCACGTGTACAGTTTCAATCAATACAGCACTGATACTGATGTAGTCACACACTACATCAATCCATACTGAATCAAATCCTAAATATGCAATATCATTTAAGACACTGTTAGTTAGAAAAACAATGCAGAAAATCCCTTCACAAAATACAGGAAGCTGGTTAGAGGGCTGTATCATTGAAAGGGGAAATATATCCCTATTTGCTTATTTGACTTGGCTCAGACACCAACAAGTCTGTTAGTAAAGTCCCTGATAAAAAATCAAAAGTTCCTACTCCAACAGCACACACAGTCAGTGTGGCTTGATATTAAGACAGTGCAGTCTACTTAATATGAATCTATCCACACATCCAAGCCAATGAGATTTGCAAAGTGTGTGCAGATCCAAAGTAAAAAGAGATAAAAATCCCCCAAACAAATGAAAGCAAGAGTTTTCTCTCCTCTGCTTTGAGTGATGAATACCAGTTCAGACCTTTAAAGCAAATCACATGAGAGCATGATGGGCCATATTACATAATGGGCCCTTTGACTTTGGGCAGCTCATGAACAACACAAGAGCTTCCTGTGTGATCAATACTGGTATATAACAATTTTCTATCTGGAGCTGCTTAAGATGCAACACTACTTTCCCGAGACCTGGCATGAAAGTGTTATCTTTCATCGGTCCAATTCCTTGCCAATCTCCGTCTCTCCCTCTCCTGTCAGTGTATGACACAGCGTGACATAACAACTGACATATGGACTGTGACAAGTGACAACCCCCGTCACTTCTGGCTCTAAATGGTACTCAGCTAGCCACTAAATCAATCAGATACAGTATGATATGACCATCCAATCAATCAAAGTATTAAGTAACACTAACAGAAGGGGCAAAGGCATTGATGGTAGGTGAAAGAAAGACAGAGCTTCTCTTTGAGTGTGTGCACAGATGAGGTTATTTGTGTTTTTATATAAAAGCTCCCTGGAGACAGAGAAATAGAGCTCAGTAGAAGAACGTGGCCCAGCCCAGCCCAGCCCAGGTCCTCTCCAGGAACACTGACTAAGAAACTTCTGTTTCCACTATCCAACACACATCACGTGGCTGCCTCCTCCAAAAACACACTGTTACATGTAATAACCTTCTTTAATTGTTCCTCTTCACAGACTTTCAGTCATACAACATGCTACTGGGCTATATATATTTCAACTAAAGCCTCTCCCAATGCTACATCAGCAGGGGCCCCCATGGCTCAAAAAAAGATTTAGAGATAATAAGAGGGATATTATTAGAAAGCAGAAGAATGTTGCTCATTTGTAAGCTATCTTGTTTACATGAAAACAATAAAGTAGTCATGCCCTCAAACTACTGAAATGACTGAGTGAAGGACTTTTAAATCTTCTTCTGTAAACATTTCTTCTGTAAACGTTAACTAGATACAATTCACGTCAGAGAACGAACAATATAGCAGGATTAAGATTCTCCAAAAACACTAGATGAAAAGTAAAGTACACTGCTTTTCCCAGATGTGACACTGAGCCAAGAACATTTTTCCTTTAAATTTCTGGTAAAATTCTTTTCTTTTCCAGTTTGGGATCAAAAATTCCTTATTTTTGTAGCAACCTCACTGGTTCGGCCACTAAAAAAAAATCTGCTTTTGGCTGGAGTCCCATGTTCCAAAACAGTGTGATTATTCAGGGCACTGGCAGCTTGCTTGAAGCGGGGGGAGGGAAAGCAAAACATGCAGCCAACACAACACCCCTCTGACCCCCCCCCCCCACCCCCACCCCCACCACCACACCTTTCCCAGCTGTCAAAACTCCCAGTAGGCGGCTGCTTGCTGTCCAATATGCCACTGACTGAAAACCAGACCCATACAACACATTGTAGCAGCTATTGAGTATTCTCACTTCTACAGTAGCCCCAAGGGCCCACATTCATCTGTAACACATCCATAACATGATAAAACCTTTAAAAGCAGCAAATGTATGTACTTCAACATCTCATTCACTGAAAAGTATCTTAAACATTTAATAGATGGAGTTATGTTGTGCCTCTTACAGCAGTCATCAAATAAGCTCAAATGTTTATCAAGAAAGGTCCATTTTTATTGTTGCAGCTAAAGGTGTGGCTAATTTTAATTACTATGCTGCTGGGTAGGTGGGAAGATTCCCCCAGGGATCAATAAAATCGTATCTCATCTTAACCTATCATGGTACATCATAATGTGTGTGTTCATTTATGTTTCTATAATGTAGCTAGTAACTCCAGCTATTAAATAAATGTAGTGGAAAACAATTACAATATTTGCCTGTGAATTGTGGAGAAGTATAAAGAAGTGCCTCAAAAGTGTACTAATGGTGCTTTCCATTTACCTCGGAGGTCAGAGGTCGGAGCTAGGAATGACTTCAAACCCGAGATTACACTGTTCCAGTTAAGAAGTCGGAAAGACTGCATAAAAGAAGTGGACATAATCATTGTGACGTCACCTGTTGGTTTGTGGACGGCCGTTTTGAAGCCTCAAGTTTGGCCGATAGGGCGCCGCCATCTTGAGTTTTTGCAACCAGTGGCACCGAATGTGACCAAATTTGGATGAGACTGTGGAGCTAACTGCCGTGCGTGGAGCTAGTTAACTTGCTTAGGTGCATCTGTAATTCACCTTGACTATCATTTTAACAGAGCTGACAATTTTATCTAGCAAATAACAGTCTTAAAACCAAATGTACTCACTAGAGAAAGTGAACAGCCATCTCCTAACACACTTTTTCAATGGCGCTGGTTAAATTTGCACAGTGCTGTGGGTACGAGTCACTCTAGCCTGATTGACAGGTTACCATGGTAATGACTTGTCAATCACAGATAATTTCGCCCTGAAGCATACTCTACTTTATGGTCTATGTTCCTCTAAATAGGACCATAATTTACTAAATGAACATCATGTTGTATGGAAGAAGACCTGAAACTAGCGATTGAGACCATAATATCATTAGGAAAGTGTTCACTGAGGTAATACATCAGCTGAGAAGTAGGGTCATTTTACCATTATTTCTAATGTAGACGGACTTCTTTTTGCAACCAGAAGAGTCGCCCCCTGCTGGCCCTTCAATAGAATGCAGATTTATGGGCTTCCGCATTGGATTCAGGTATCAGACCTGACCGGAAGCTTCCCACTTGGTCAGAAAACCTCGTTGGCCAGCCATTGTAGTTTAGTTTTTCTGCTGCATTCCAGGGAACTCGTAACTTGGAATTTTCCAACCTCCAACTAGAAAAACTATCCTGGAACGCCACTTAAAGTCGGATTTCCTACTTGTGAACTTGTCAGAAAAAAGATTTACCCCGAGTAGCAGCTGATTGACGTCACACAACAATGGCAGCTCCCGTGAAAGCACACATTGCCTAAAAGGCAACATAAAGTATATTTTCATGTATTTAAATTGAGGTAATTGCTATCATTAAAACCTATTCTGCATGTAAATTAATGTAGAAATGTTTTGACAATGTTAATAGGTGACAGTAAAGAATCGGAGTTATTCAGTAAAATGTTAAAAACGCCAAAACATTTGAAAACATTAGGAAGTATAATCTACAACATTTACTGACTTTTAAGGATTACCACTTCAGTCACTTGTTTTCATTAAAATGGCCAACATTTTAATTAATACTAAGGGCAGCGCTGAGGGTGCAACTGGGTGTACACCTGACAGAGTTTGTCACGGTGAGCCATGTTTTTCGTTCACTTTCGGCGTCATGCACCACCATGCTCCTTGAACACTATTGAGGTTGCAAGTCTGATATTTCAACTTGGAAATTCCCCAGTTCCGAGCAGTCTGGAATTAGTATGAGCAATGCCGCATTCCAGACCGGTCGGAAGTGGGAAATTTCCAAGTTGAAATCAGATTGAGATCCGATTTGCGACCTCAAAGTGTTTCAGGTGCATGTAAATGTAAACAATAAACATGGCTGACCGTTACAAACTTATGTTTCTTTGGCAAGTTTATGCACAGTTATATGGGTAGAGTGGGGAAAGATGTGCGCCCCCCCAGCTCAACATCTATTTGCTGACATAAAATAATATTTTATTGATTTTTTTTGGATCTTTAAGAAGGCCATGCTTTGTGTAACATATTATAAAATAAATAGCTACAGTTGACAAATTAATTTGTATTTAATCAAATGTGAGCATATGTGAGCTTATAACCTTCCTTTACTTCAGACTTTCTGATAGTGAAGTTGCTAGTTGGCTAAAAGGTCTATCCAGTGTCTAAATAATATCTAAATTACAAACTATCAACCATAATAATAACCCCTTAATGTAAATATACACATATACACACACACACACACACACACACACACGTATGTGTATATACACACATACATACAGTGGGTACGGAAAGTATTCAGACCCCTTTAAATTTTTCACTCTTTGTTTCATTGCAGCCATTTTCCAAAAATCAAAAAAGTTCATTTTATTTCTCAGTAATGTACACTCAGCACCCCATCTTGACAGAAAAAACAGAAATGTAGAAATTTTTGCAATTTATTAAAAAGAAAAACTGAAATATCACATGGTCATAAGTATTCAGACCCTTTGCCGTGACACTCATATTTAACTCAGGTGCTGTCTATTTCTTCTGATCATCCTTGAGATGGTTCTACACCTTCATTTGAGTCCAGCTGTGTTTGATTATACTGATTGGACTTGATTAGGAAAGCCACACACCTGTCTATATAAGACCTTACAGCTCACAGTGCATGTCAGAGCAAATGAGAATCATGAGGTCAAAGGAACTGCCTGAAGAGCTCAGAGACAGAATTGTGGCAAGGCACAGATCTGGCCAAGGTTACAAAAAAATTTCTGCTGCACTTAAGGTTCCTAAGAGCACAGTGGCCTCCATAATCCTCAAATGGAAGACGTTTGGGACGACCAGAACTCTTCCTAGAGCTGGCCGTCTGGGGGAGAAGAGCCTTGGTGAGAGAGGTAA